ATATAATATATATATATATATATATTTATTAGTATATAAAATATAATATATATATATATATATATATGTTATTTCACCATATGAAATCAAACACAATTTTATTTTATAATCGATTTCATCCTCATTAAATCAAACACCATTCTCGTCTATATGTTATTTCATCCCATAAAATCCATGATCACTCCTCTTTTTCACAATTTTCATCCTCGTCATCATCGTTAACAATCAAACCCTTGTCATCATGCATCCTCAAAAACCCTTCATTTGTCAAATTTCTGAACAATATCAGAAAGATTTTGAGTTCGATTGAATTATCATTTCTGAAATCAACACGACGATCATCTTCTTGATTAAAAATCACGTAATTATATTCTCTTCTTATCGTTGATCCAATCCAAGGAGTAGAGACCACAAATAACACCATCAAAAAAGCCGTAACTCGAAATCTCAATCCATCAACAAGCAGCAACTTGATTAAACGAACAAGATCAGGAAATTTGGATCGTAAATGATGATGAATATAAGCGGCCATAATTGCATTCGAAATAAAAAAAAAACGCAATCAGCGAACATATAATTATCAATCACTTTAAAACTATCGTTGAAGAAGAAAACTAGAAAAGAGATTAGTTAGGGATCAATCGATTTGTTGAGAAACTAAAATTAAGAAATTAGCATTTATGATCGACGATTATTCTGGTGGTGAAGGTGTGATTGGAAACTTTGGGGCTATTGAAGGATTTCAAGTCTGCAAATTTGCAGCCATTAATGGAGATATCGACCTTCGATGGTGGATCATCGTGAACAGAGACATCTTATATGATCTGCTTCTTCGAATCCATGGAGGAACAAAAACCTAATAACCAAGAATTGGTGGACAGCAGGAGCTCAAGCAACAACTTTCTAATGGCATCAAAAAAGCAAAACTGTCAATTTCATCCGGAATCCACAGGGTCCAAAACCTAGTAGCAGCATGGTTTCCACCTACAAGCACGACGAGATAGTATTCAGATTGAAAGTAGAAATTTGGGAGGTGTTCACCAGAGACGAAGTGGTTGCCGGCGACGAAGATAGATAAAGATGGTTTTCGGCGATGGAGATGGTTGTCGGCAATGGAGATGGTTGATACATATTGTATTTAAAAAAAATTATTTACAATATTATTCAATAAATATTTATAATAAACACCATTGAAGTGTTTTTAATAATATTAATATTAATTTCATCAATAAAAACTAAATAGTTGTTAACTTTTTTTATGTATATAATATTTATATACGGTAAATAAAAAAAATAAATTCACACATACTTTTCTCATCTTTGGTGAGGTTTGAACCCACTGACTTATTAAGAAGTCAAAGACTCACATACTGCTAGGCCAGAAAGTCTTTTGGTAATAGTTGTTAACTTATTATCATTATAACAACCAAATATTTAAAATGTATATTTTTAAAGAGGATTTTAAATTATAAAAAACCCATATATTTCAACATAATTCAAACTAAAAACAACACTTTATGAAAAATTAAAGGAAAGAAAGATTCACAAGTTCATGAACCGACCATCTGGAGCAAACTTGCTCTTCGACAATGGTATCTAACAATGGCTTCTTTGATCTACACGTCGATATCCGATGTTTAAACTCTAGCGACGACATTTCTTCAGTATCCTCCAATCTCGACTTTAGCGGTGTCGGCACATTTTCTATGCAAATCCTTCTGTCATCAATCTTTTTAGCGGTTATAAAAAGAAAACCCAAGTCAGCAGTGGTGATAACAGCGTTAACTTTGTTCATTGGAAACATAACATATACAGATGCAAATTCGAGATCTTCATCTGCGTTAAGTGCAGAGAACCGTGCTCCAACACGGAGGGACTTGGAGTGGACAATGAACGAGTTCGGTGATTCCATCATGACTTCCGCCGCTTTGATTGGTTCTCGAAATCTTCGAATTTCGTTATTCGGGAAAATTACTTTCGTAGCCCTCGAGAACTTCCCGTCTTGGTGTGTTAGTGTACACGAGACGTAGTTACCCATTTGATTTGATTTAATCAAGTCAATAAAATGACACGATATTTTTCGAGTGAAGACTAAAGATGGGAGGGTGGGGGGTTATATAAGAGATTTAAAAATATTTATTAAAAAAAGAAAAAAGAAAAAAAAAGAAAAAAGAAAATATGACAGTTGGGACTTGGGAAGTAGAATGAGTTGACAAATAATTGGGTTTGAATCCGCGTTGCGATTTTAATTTAAAAAAATATTTTTTTTTTCTTTTTTCTTTTTGCTAAATACATTTTAAAAAGGGGAGTGCTAATGGCACCCCCAAATAAGGGGTGTTGAATGTCTCGGTAAATGTAATTGATGTAAATCCATCATATGTCAATGTCAAATAATAATATATTATATTTTATTATTATTTTATTATTATATATATACATATATATATACACACATATATTTATATATATTTATTCAATTATAATTTGAAGTTATATTATGTAACTATTATATTATATTTTATTATTATTATTACATATACA